AATTCAATTTTTGCATGAACTTTTTGAAGTACCCTTGTATTTTCCCCTGAGCCTTTCATTCCACTCTTTGTCTACAGAAAGGTAACTACAATCTATTTGTAAGTGACATTAAGTCGGTGCTGTGTGTTGAACATGTCCCCCAAAGGTTCTTGTGTTGGAGACTTGATCTCTATTGTAACAGTATTAAGAGGGTGTAAAATCCTATCATGGCAATTGAAAGGTGGAGCCTTTAGGAGGTGATTTGATTGTGAGGACTGTATCCAGTGATGGTTAAATTCATTGATGGTTTAATGGGTTGTCATGGGCGATGTTCTGATGGCTTTACAAGGAGAGCAAGTGAGAAGCTTAGCTCTGTCTTGCTTAAGCCATATGCGATGTGATACCCTGCATTGCTATAGAGAATCATCACCAAGAAAAGCCCTCACCAGATGTGTTTCCTGGACTTTGGACTTCCCAGCCTCTGAAACTAAGAAATAAATTTTATTTCTTTATAAATTATCTAGTTTCAGGTATTCTGTTAAAAGCTACAGGAAACGTATTAATACAGTAGAATACTACAGAGTAAGATTTAAAAAGTGAATGGTAATTTTCAATTATGTCTACAGAGGCAAGAAAATGATATCAAACATGCAGAACTATTATCCATTCATTAAAAATAATCAAGCTTAACATATTAACAAAAGCCATGTTTTTCTATTTCAATGTTAGAAAAGCCTGTTTCCACACTGACATCTAAGGACCTACTTGGATCTCGTTACTAACAAAGAGTGCTAGGAAAAATAAACCATAGGAGGGGAAAACAAACTGTATATTAGTTTTTATAGTAAAGAGTCATTGCATGCCTCCAATGGAGTACTGACAATGTGAGTTAACAAAGTGTTAAAGAAAAAAGTTATGCTCTTTCACTAGATGCTATGCTATCAACTATGGTAACCACTAATAACTATTTAAGTTTAAATTAATTTAAATTAAATTTCAAATTCAGTTTCTTAGTCATACTAACCACATTTCAAGTGTTCATTGTGGCTAGTGGGTTTCATACTGTATAGCACACATAATAAAACATTTCTATCATCATAGGAAGTTCTACTGAACAGCACTACACTAAAGTTTCCAAAAGATATAGAGAAGAAAGTGGGAGAGGAGTCAGAAAAGAACTTTACCTTATTTAAGTTCAGAATAGGCAAGGGGCTATTTTCAAGATTAGAATAGATATTTATTTACCTGAGGTACAGTAAGAAAACTCTTGATTTCTAAGTACTGGTAAAGTAGACTATTGTCTTCTATTCTCGATAAACCATTTTCCAGCAGATCCTACAGATTAAAATATATGCAGACATATATATATGTGAAGTCAACAGCTCTATTTGTTGATATGATTATGTATTTGAATTATAATGGGAGCAAATAAATCTTACCAATCCTTTGGAGAACACAGACTCTTCTGTTCTGGAAGAGAATGTTAAAAGTTATCAATATGATTTTATAAACTGTTTAAGAATGATTCTTCATCTTAGGAAAAATGAATCAACAATTGAAATGTAAAGATGTTTTAAATGCATATCATTAAGGAGAAATTCTGTTAAAGAATTTAGTCAAAATTCCATCTTTGGTCTGTCTTTTGATTTGGCTGACACCTAAATCTGACCAAAATTAACCTACTCACAGCTTATTTCCTGGTATCAAATCAATAGATATTTGACAGCAAGTACTAAGAAATCAATTATACCTGATATAATGCTATATATTCCAGTTGATTGC